TTTAATATGCTGGCGGTTACCGAATTGTATCTGTGTCTTTCTTCTTCTTGTCTATCATACCAGTATGATAGATAAAAATTCTATTTGTGGTCTAAATTTTTAACTTTCGATATAATGTACCTTTCTTATTCAAGTTGTTGAGATTAAAATTGGAAGGGTATGTGCTATTAAACTATTTTAATATCGCCATATGTTCATACGCCTGTCCAAAGTCGCTTAGAACTTTCGTTGGAAAATCCCCGTACCACTCGTTCCGTTGGTTCCTGTCAGTTTTCAAGGACTTCCCTTTTTGAATTTACCTTGGAGTTCGGTATTTTTGTTATACATTTTTGCTGTATATTGTACAGACAAATGTTGACCAATGTGTGTCTTTTCACTTCTGTGTCTTTGGGTTGCTATTCATGCACATAACACACACCTGTAAAAACTCATCAAAGATACCAGACTAGTAACTTAGTACGCCAGACGCACATTCCGTCTACATATGACACATTAGTAACACTCGAATTAAAACAGTTGGAAACCAAGTCAGTGATGAAGTTGAAGAGTATTAAAACCAACAATTCTCCCCAAAAATGTGTCAAAATCTGGCTAAGGTTATCTTTGACAATGGGTAGAAAAACTTAGTGTTTCGAACACTATTGAAATTCTATAAACAATAAATGTACAGAAAAAAGACGTATGCAAACACAAAAGAGATGAATAGTAATTTGGTGATAACACCTCGGACGAAACGTCCACCAGCATTGACATCGACCCAATGGTTGTAAAAAGTCATCAAATGTACCAGGCTTTTAATTTAGTAAATACCGAACATAAAATAAACAAACAAACACATAAACAAGAAGGTATGGTCTGATAAGGTATGAATAGACAACAATGGATGACTCAATAACTAGTATTAGAGGCAAACATGATGATTTTGGTACTTTTCTTAAGGCCAATTTCATTATTGGTGACCTATGCTCTTTCTTCGGCGCAGTAGTCAGTACTGCGGTACTGACATGATTTATAACAAACGGTTCTTTAATTGTCCATTTATATATTAAGAAATGGTTAAGAAAGTTTCAACTCCATCAGTCAAAGTTGACTTTAGATGGATTGGCAATCATTTTATGTCCTTTTTAGTCATAAGCTCTTCAACTGATTCGGTTGATAAACATCATTGGCTTTCAAATATTCGGCTTTGAGCGTTCCTGATGAAAGTAAATCCAGTAAAGTGCTACGAATGCCTGATATTTTTTAAAGGCGTTTAGTATAGATACGACATTACAGATCATATTCTTCTCGTTCATTTGAATTTTAAAAATTGGGGTTATTCTTTATTTTTAGATCTGGATATGCTAATAGGCCATACTATAATCTAATTATATTATGGACCTGGTATCTTTGAGGAGTTTAAATATCCAGCTTCTTGTCAAGTGTTTTTTTAACACATTTACACTTCATTTTTCAAATATGAAAATGTGTATTTTCTACCGTATTTCGAGAAATCTAGACTGCTTTTCATATTTTAATGATGACAACTCATTATCGTCAAAATATACAAAACATATAAAAATGTAATACATGCAATGAATGCAATGAATGTAAGCCATTTAGTATATTATATATGTTACCTGACGTCGCTTCTTCCAGTTATGACATTATATTAAAAGAGTATAACAAAAATACCAAACTCCAAGGTAAATTCAAAATGGGAAAGCCCATAAAAACTGACAAAATCAAACGTTAGACTTTATCAACTAACGGAACAAAGGGAAAGCAACTGTCGTATTACTGAATTGATACAGGCATATTCCGAAGGAAATGGTGAGTAAAACCTGGTTTTACTGCTTGGTTTTACTGTTTGCTAAAACTCCCACTTGTATGACAGTTGTTTATAGTTCCATTATATTGACAACTGGTTGAGCAACCTTAACAAACATTATAAGTTTATGTGACACTAGTCGGAATCGAGCAGCCTTAACTATGTAAACATACATCACAGACATACAACACAATTGACTATAAATTCAAACAAACATACAAATATATCTAACAAAGACGCCAACAAAAACGTTGTAGTTTATAGTAAATTTGAATAAGCTGCCAACAAAAAAAGTTTTTACATTTAAAAAAAATTAATTCCCGGTTATTTATATAATTTCGCTACTATAATGTAGAAGTTATCCACACAATTGCATTGCAATATGGGAGATTCGATGAAATGAACCTTCAATTCTATTCTCAATTAGTACAAAATGTTATCACTGTATAAATTTATACTATTTACGATACCGATCTATCCATGGCTTAGGGGGAATAAGCGGATCGAAATACAGAGGACAAATAACTGGAACAATTAGAGTTGTCTTTCTTCCTTGGATCAGAATTTTAATGTTATATTATCTGAAAATATGCATGTTGAGTTGTATTATTATTCGCCAATGAATGTTTATTACAAAATTTGAACGGTATTGATGTTCTCATATGCAACTATGCACCAAAAGACTAAGTAAGTATTGAGGAACCGGTTACTTAAAATAAAAAAAAAATATTTCATTTGACTATCTTAAGAAGTTGAAATATTAAAAATGGTTAGGTTTTTCTACCCATTGGTATAGATTGCCAAAGACATATTTGGCACGAATTTTCGGAATTTTTGGTTATTAATGCTCTTCGACTTCGAATTTGATTTGGCTTTGCAACTGTTTAGATTCGAGCGCCACTGATGAGTCTTATGTAGACGAAACGCGTGTCTGGCGTAACCAATTTATAAGCTTGGTATCTTTGATGAGTGTTAACCGCATATCAACTTGTTGAAATATAGGTCAATTTCCATGCCATATTTACAGTTTAACGCCCTATTCTATTTTGAAATTCTAATAAATTACATCCCAATTCACTTTTCTACGTATAGTCTCCTGTCGCTCATACAGTATAAATAAACAGTCCAATAACGCTTTCCACTGTTTTGACTGTCTCTTTTGAGTATAAAATTTTGGTATAAGCGTCACTGATGAGTCTTATGTAGACGAAACACGCGTCTGGCGTAATAAATTATAATCCTGGTACCTTTGATTACCAATTAGATAAAACAGAACTGCAATTAGATTGTCCGCTGATAAACTGATAAGTTATATTAAAAAGTTCTACCTCCCTCAGGCAAAGTTGACCTTGAATGGATTTGGTTATTCTTTTTATGCCCCTTTTGTCATATAGCGCTTCACATGTTTATGTGGTTATACATCCTTGGCAATCAATGAATTGGGTATAAGTGTTACTGATCAAGTTTAATTCAGGAAATACTTCAAACGAAACAAAATAAAGTGTTATTTTCATTTTTTTAGCACTGATTCCATACAGCTACTGTTGGACTGTTAGACCCCGAGGATACCATCAGCTCAGTAGTCGGTGCTTCGGCACGGACATGTAAGGCAAAATTAACATTAGAAGGAGTTTCAATTTTTAATTGTTCCTGGCAAAGGTTAATCAGAAAAGCGCTTCTGGAGCGAAAAAATTATAAATGTTGTTTTTAATATTTTTGAATCACTTTAAAAACAAAGTTGTATTCATTTTTGTTCTTACATTTCTGCTCCTAGATTGATGAGTCTCTAACGGATCGAAAGCATATATTTCAATGTTTTTTTTTAATCTAACATTCGGATATAAAACCAGGTTTAATTCACCATTTTCTACATGAGGAAATGCCTGTACCAAGTCAGGAATATAACAGTTGTTTTCCATTCGTTTGATTTTTTTGAGCTTTTGATTTTGTCATTTTATAAGGGACTTTCTGATTTGAATTTTCCTTGGAGTTCGATATTTTTGTTATTTTACTTTATACGGAGAGAAAGTATACCAATAACATGTTTATGGATAAATGGAACATATACTACCACCATTACCTATCAGTATAATGTTCTATATAAACATTTGTCAATTAACGCACTAGTTCTCGCTTCGTTTGGAGTTCATACTTCTATCACTGGCCCTGCAGACAGCAATCAGAGACAACCCGACGGTTAAACAGTGCAGGATGCCTTGGATAGTCCCTAAATATTCAGTAGCAATCATTTTGTTAAATTGATTAATTGTGGCTACTAAAAAATGAAAACAACACTTTATAAATTTCATGCGTCTGAGGCGTTCATGAATGTTCATGAATGTTCATTGGTAAACTTTTCTTACGTATTCACTACGATAATAAGTTAACAATAAATACAACGTGGGTCGATCGGAATGAAGGACGGCACATGGAAGTTTGGACTGCCATCGGAAAATGACTGGACGTGAATGCGTTTTTATACATCCCACACGGCTAAACGGATGCATATCTTAAGCATTTATTATACTACTATTTAGGAGAAACATAGAAGACCTTTCAAACCTTCGGGTCTTATCAACTTTGAAGACACACCAGACTTGAACACATTCAATCAATCCCAGTTGACCGTTCATTAACCCGAGAAAAAAAATAGCATTGCATAACCAAAAAATGTGGTACAAGCTCAACAGATCAATAAAAAAGCTCTGATAGTTTAAAATAAGGTTCCAAATTAATGTTTTTCGAAATATCATAAAACATAAGTAATATCTTCTTTAAATTAAGATTTCACATTATATCTTAGGGAAAAAAATATAAGAAAAGTATCTGGTATCTGGATTCAAAGAGAAACAACTTTAAACTAAGCTTCAAGATTTTCAGTACAAAGAGTTTATCGCAGCGTAATATAATTTGACTGAACAACGTAAGATATTGCAATTTATCCGAATATCTCTTATATATATATATACTCCTAGGAGACAGAACGTGGATTCATCTGTCGTTTTGTCCAAGTCTCTTCTTCAGACATTTGTATTTAAAGAAAAGTTCTCCGTTTTGGTTATCGAGTACCCGAAATGTTATTCAACAATGACCAATAACTTGAGCTCTATAACTCATATTAAAATATGACACAATTTCAGTCACTAACAGTTGTGAAAAGAAATTCTCAAACTGCCTGGAAAGAGAGTTAAACGTTCATGCATTGGAATTAAAGATAATGGTTATTATACCCGTTTTCAATGATTGCGTATGAGATACACGAAGATAAAAATATATAAAGATTATATGAGGCCTTTGTAGTTTTGTGGGTTAACGATAGGAGCATTGTTACAAATAGCAAAAACATGCCTAGTGTAAAAATGGAAAGTTATTAGTATAAGGACAGACAACACCATGGACAAAGAAGAAATAAGACGGAGAACAATAATTTGCAAAATATGAAGAAAAAAAAATGATGATTGACTCGTGACAACCCGAGCGAAACAAAAATCCGGGATAAATTAAGTTTACATTAGTTTACTGATGTTCAAATCCCGTAAATTGATTTAAAAGTGACAAATCAAGACAACAAACAAAAACTGAGGGAATCGCATGAACTCCAAAAAGTATATAAGGTTAAGCTTCTCCTGCCATGCACCACCGGCCATGTGAATTCACACCCAATCAAAATGTCCCAATCGGTTAAATTGCAGATCAGACAACTATACTGGTATTTAAAGATCTAAGACCGCGAAATCATGTTGCTAGTGAGTTGAGACACCAACACATAGTTTCGGTCAACCAATTCGTGGTGGTGACTTCTTGTGTAGTGTCAATTTCAGTCATTCTACTATACTCTGTTGGACTAATTTTGTGTAAGGAACACATCCCTGTTAATGAAGCCCTTATAGTATGAACATGCACGAGCGTAACGTACCAACTGTGATATAAAACTGTATACGCTAGAATAAGCGGTATGTGACTACTGCGAAATGGGAGGTCGTCAATTGGAAAGCTGAAGTCATAACGTGTGTCATAGATTAAATAAAAATAGATATTTCCTGTTCCGTTTTGACATTTTTCTAGCAATAGAAAAATTACTACCCCTCATCTTTCGAATGAATCCCCCCAATAACAATATGTCATAGAAACAATTTCATTATAGTAATGTATTGGAATTAAAAAGCTTTATAGGATTGTAAGTATGCTTTATTTTATCACCTTGATGACTAGATTGTGGTTTTCTACAGCAGTTGGTTAAAATGTCTGACCAGTTGAACAGTCTGGTTTGATAAAACAAATTACAATTGGGTCAGAATTTAAATGAACTGCATTAGATGGAGAGCAACACCTACAGTTAAGTCACAATAGTATAGAATCCAAACATTAGAATTGTTACTACATAACGCAAATTAACAATACAAACATATAACATTGACACAAAACATTATTATGCATGTTTTTTTTTTTAAATGCATGACAACATGCCTCTCCTCAAAATACCATTTAAATCATTATATTACTTTCCATGAAAACAAATACACGTGATCATATTCAACAAATCACATTTATCGGATATTTCAAGAGGTTTTCACCAATCAAATTATTAAGAATGACAATCTGTTACCGCACATACATAATATTAACGTGCACACACTTGGATATATTTTCATAGCTCTGTGATATTTTGATTGATCACTATGTCTGTCAGAGTTCTATTTTTTATCTTTATTTCTTTTACTTTTGCTCATGCAAGGGATTGTGAATGCACCAAATTGAATGGCTGTTGCTATGATTTAAGTAAGTAAATGTTTCTAATATGTAATAACATAAACGGTACCAATTTTCTGCACCAGATGCGCATTTCAACAATCAATGTCTCAATGTGAAAAATTGATTGTTTGGGATTTGATCCAAATTCTTACAAATATTTTGATTAAACATCGAAATAATAAATTTATTTATAATAATAATAATAATAATAATAATAATAATAATAATAATAATAATAACAACTAATTTAATAAATAGATTTACATAATATTTGATTCACAAATCTAGTTAGAATGTAATTTATTTCCGAGAAGACCAAATTATACTTAAAATCAACCAAATCATAACACTTTTATAGTTGGCACTATCAGAGTTACTTATGATGGTATACTTTAATAGTGACAACCGATGACTTTGACCAAGTTTTCTTGTTAGTGATAACAGGGCTTAAGGCGTGACAAATATATAATGGAGGTAAGGTTGAACTGGAGTCATGTCACGCAGGGGTTGCCATTGCGTTGTAAAAATTCGACGGTACAGGATGGAAGAGGAACAGAGCAACTATGTTTCAAAAAAGTTATAAAAAAAAAACCAATGGGTACCCGATAGATAGCCGTAAATGAGAAACATTAGTTCACAATAAGACAAATACAATGATAATAATAATATAATAATAATATAATAATAATAATATAATAATAATAAGAATGACTTTATTTAAAGAGTGTGACTCAATAAGCATTCACTAATCTACCTTGATGTCCTGACAAAAAAAAAACATACATAATAAGTATTACAATTTTTTAACATATAATTCAACTTTCACGCTAAATGAATGTCTGAAATATTAAGAGTGATATAATGTGCTTAGGAAAAGAAATTATTTCCTGCCACTCATGACCGTCGTATACCCGGGTAGTCTCATCAAATACACTATGCGGTAGATATGCGTTATTAAGTATGGTTTTCAAATAATTTGAGACGTCGATTTTGTAAAAAAAAAATGAATACAGCACTTTAAAAATTTCATGCGTCCGAAGCGTTTTTCTGGATTTACCTTCACCAGGAACGTCCACAAAGCCGAAGAGTTGAAAGCCAATGATGTATAAGAACCGAAACATTTGAAGAGCTACATGACAAAATGAAACTAAAAATAATAGCCAAATTCATCTAAGGTAAACCTTTCTTGAAGTTGTGGAAACCTTGGTTTCTTAATAATTTCTAAATTTGTAATTTGACAATTTTAGAAAGGTTTTTTATAAATCATGCAAGTACCGAAGTACTGACTACTGAGCTGAAAATACCCTCGGGGACTGATAGTCCACCAGCAACGGTATCGACCCAGTGTTGTAAAAAAAGAAAACAACACTTAAAAATTTCATGCATCCGAAGCGCTTTTCTAAATTTACCTTCATCAGGAACGTTCAAAGCCGAATATTTGAAAGCCAAGGATGTATAAGAACAGAAACAGTTGAAGAGCTCTATGACCAAAATGGATCTACAAATAATAGTCAAATCCATCTAAGGTCAACTTTGTCTGAGGGAGTTGAGTTGAAACCTAAGTCTCTTAATAATTTCTAAATTTATAATCGGACAATTTTAGAAAGGTTTGTTATAAATCATGTCAGTAACGTGTAATAATTACCAAACAACTGAATAAAGCATTGTATTAGTGTTGACACGTAGTCATATTAAAATTTAAAAGAGTGAAAATATTTTTTAGGAAATTGACGTCATCTTGATTTCGTACACTTTTTGTATCTGTTAAAAGGTACAAAGCAGACTTGTTAAAACTAGTCGGTTGATATCTTTAGTAACTAAATGATATGCAAATGTTTTATTTTATTTAACAGATAATGTAAAGGAAGAATCTGTGGCTTTCACGGCCATAACAACAAATGGAGATGCTTTACCTAATGGTCCGATAATTTACGACAAGGTTGTTACGAATGTCGGAAAAGCATACAGTGCTAGGTCTGGTATTTTCCATGCTCCAGTTCAAGGTGTGTACAGCTTTTCCTTTAGTTTGATGGGATTTCATAGTAACACTGTCTATATGCATCTTTATAAGAATAATGCTGAGGTTACCAGGCTGTATACAAACGGAGGAGGCAGGCATGAAGTTGCATCGAATACTGTTTACCTCACTCTGGAGAAAGGAGACGAAGTTTATACGAAAGGAACAGAAGGGAAGAAGTTGTATGCCGCAGAACCGTATAATCTGTTTTCGGGTGTTTTGATAAAGATCGGAAACTTTTGAATTAACTGAATACATTAAACTGTAAAAGAAATTTCATTTTTTCAAGTATTATTATAAAATAGAACAGAAGCACAAAAATATAAAGGTTGCACAATGCACAATGATTCGTTGATTATGATATTTATTAATTTATTAAGATTTTTAAATTTTAAATTCAAGGTTTTCCCAGCATTTCAAATAAACTCATCATAGATACCAGGATTGCAATTTTGTATTTGCACCAGACGCGCGTTTCATCTACAAAAGACTCAAAATGTGAACCTTTAACTATCTCGAGTGAGATGATTAAAAGTCAAATGAAACGAGTTTCATGAGTAGGCCCAGTAAGACCCCTTTTGACCCCAAAATATAGCAGTTTTACAAAATTGATAAAATGTAAATTTTTAGCTATTCATTGGAAAGAAGAATACTTCTGTAACATAAATATGGGCTGTTTTTGACAATACAATGCATTGGGTACAAGCATCATTAAGTCATGCTTAATTATTGAAATCTTCGAAATTTTAGCATTTTGGTTAATTTTTAGACGGTTTCCGTCTGAAATGGAAGTGGCCGCATTTGTGTTCATTCTTAATATTTAGATGTAAGTTGTATTTGATGATAATACACAACATAAATAAAGGTTGAGAATGAACACGGATGCGGCCCCTTTCATTTTTGACAAAAACTATCTGAATAGTGACATATTATGGCATATTTGATAGATTTTTCATATTTAAGCTTGAATTTGAGCGTCTTTAATGACTAAATCAGTTAAAATCTTTCACATAAACTAATTGAATCGACTGAATTAGACACTTAAGTGTTTAAAAAGTGTCCAAAATCTTTCATCAGATGAACCTGAATTTTGAGGCCAAAATCGGCCCTTACCGGACCTACTCCTTTTAACGTTAAAGATTATTGAACCAATGCATGTATATATACTAAACTACATCCTCTATTCACGATTTTTTTTAACATTTATTACGAATCCATCACATATAATCGACAAACATATTTCATTAAGTGAAAACTGATTAACTTTTGTGGGTTTTTTTTTCCGAAGTTTACCGCACGAGACCTTTATAAAAACCAACACATAATCATGGAGCACGTGAAATAAGTAAGATGAAAGACATGCAATAGAGCGCTGTTTATTTTATATATATATATATTAAGATTCATTTATTACACCTTGTGATCCGTTTATTTGGCAATCGCCAATGGCAGTCAGCAGGGTTTAAGAACATTTGTTGTTCGACCTGTTAGTCAAATGCGTTTTGTTAAAATATACTTTTTCACTTTTTGGTCTTTTAGAAAATGTTGTTTGTGCTGTATTTAGACCCCTCTAACAAGAAATTAGTTTTTGCATGCACACGTATAAAAATTGCGGTTTTTATCCAACGCAATCATAGGTTTGAACGTTGTTTTCAATTTAGACTTGTTTATATTTTTTCGTTTGGGCTTGTATTATATTTGCCTTCGGGTTTATATGATCCGTTCATCCTAATTTGACTCCTCAAAATTCGAGAGTCTATCCTAAATTGAGGTAAATTACACGGCCTTCCAAATACTGTTTCGATTCCTAACATCAATGAAGAGACATTAATTGTCGAAATCCGGATATGGTGTACAAAAATCTTTGCACCTTTGTTTGCGGTATACCATCTTTGCCGCAAGTTTATTGTTTTCTGTTTGGTATTAAATTTTTAATTAAGATCCATTTATTACACCTTGTGATCCGTTTTTTTGGCAATCGCCAATGGCAGTCAGCAGGGTTTAAGAACATTTGTTGTTCGACCTGTTAGTCAAATGCGTTTTGTTAAAATATACTTTTTTTTCACTTTTTGGTCTTTTAGAAAATGTTGTTTGTGCTGTATTTAGACCCCTCTAACAAGAAATTAGTTTTTGCATGCACACGTATAAAAATTGCGGTTTTTATCCAACGCAATCATAGGTTTGAACGTTGTTTTCAATTTAGACTTGTTTATATTTTTTCGTTTGGGCTTGTATTATATTTGCCTTCGGGTTTATATGATCCGTTCATCCTAATTTGACTCCTCAAAATTCGAGAGTCTATCCTAAATTGAGGTAAATTACACGGCCTTCCAAATACTGTTTCGATTCCTAACATCACTGAAGAGACATTAATTGTCGAAATCCGGATATGGTGTACAAAAATCTTTGCACCTTTGTTTGCGGTATACCATCTTTGCCGCAAGTTTATTGTTTTCTGTTTGGTATTAAATTTTTAATTAAGATCCATTTATTACACCTTGTGATCCGTTTATTTGGCAATCGCCAATGGCAGTCAGCAGGGTTTAAGAACATTTGTTGTTCGACCTGTTAGTCAAATGCGTTTTGTTAAAATATACTTTTTCACTTTTTGGTCTTTTAGAAAATGTTGTTTGTGCTGTATTTAGACCCCTCTAACAAGAAATTAGTTTTTGCATGCACACGTATAAAAATTGCGGTTTTTATCCAACGCAATCATAGGTTTGAACGTTGTTTTCAATTTAGACTTGTTTATATATATATATATATATATATATATTCCATGCATTTATATTTGTTAACCATTCTTTGTCATAACAGTTGTTAAATGATTTGGGGTATTAAATTTTATTCTTTCATAATTAATTAACACTATTTTTTTCATCACGGTTTTCCCTCGCACTTGCGCTGTGAGGTTGCCGAAGTACTAACTAGAGGTCTTGTGGTTAAGGTCACTGCATACGAAAAAGCTATAGGCGAATAAGATAACGGGGAGACAATAATTCAATAGCAGTACATTTCTGAAGATTTTGATAAGATAAAGAAATTTCTTTTAAAAGAAAGTCCATGTACACGTGTTTATAGTAAACCTGAGCCATTCAAGTATATAGAACATATTCAACTTTTTTTTAATTTGAAATATCATATGACTTTTAAGAAATTTGTAAGAGTATCTATACGGAAAAATAATTGTTGCGAAATCACACGCGCCAATTTAATCATAGGTTTCCAATAAAATTAATTCAAGACTAGAACTGATTTATATAAACGAATAATTAGAGAAGTTATCTCATAGCGGCGATCATGTGAAAATGTATGCCTTTTTGGAATAGGCGAACACGCTCTAACTTACGTTGATTTCGCAAGTGTAAGAAGATTTATTTTTTTGTAGTTTTGTTATTATTTAGGTTTTTTTTTTTGGGAGGGGGGGGGGGGGAGTGGTTGTAGCGAATTTACATTTACCGATGGTTTTTTAATGTGGTAATGTTTATTAAGTTGCTTAATCGCTAGATGATACTTGTCAATGTATTTCATCAAGAGTGATATGATGGGTATCATTAGTGGGGCAATAACTGCTGGCCATTCAGGAGAACATGATAGCATTAACGGTATTTGGTTGAGTTCGTGTTGGTCATTTTTCATTTTATCTTTAGTGTTTTATGGAATGTTGTTTGTCTTTTTGTCGCGTCGTTTTTGGCCATGGTGTTGCTTTTTACTTTTAAAGACTTATGGTTTTTGATTGCCCCTTGGTATCGTTTCCCTCTTTTTCCTAAACCTTGCTGATTTTATTTTACTTTTTGAACCTATTCGCTCATGTTCATCAGAGCAATCACGATTGAGGATCCATTGATTTGTGGAACTCACGTGATAAAAGGAATTACATTATACTTTGTATTTCTCTACGGAACAATATATAATACTGGATTGTATTATGCTTGTTCCTTTTTAATAGTCTGTCGCAATTAAGATTGACTTGCAGAATATAGAAACATGTTATTCACTTTAAATCTTACACATAAAGTCATGCTGCATATAACTTCCGTTGATTTGTTACTTTTTTATACTCTTCAGCTGCTGCAATAATTTTGAACTCTTACCTTTCTGTTAGTCTGAATTGACGAACGCTTTTATATGGTTGTGATCCTTCATGTCCATATTTTGAGCCAGCCATAGCAGGATCTATGTCATCACTCTGGATGTAAAAATCGAGCAGTATTTTGATTTAAAGACATGTATTATAAGCATAGATGTAAAAATGGTTTGAAGAAAGTAAAAAAAACAATTTCCTCATCTACGACCAACCTTTTGCATGTAATTTGCCCTTAAATGAAAAAAAGTGCCTATCATCTAAAATTTTATATTGATTTACATGTATTTGTTGAAATCGTTCCAGATGTGAATTTAAAAAAGTCAGATACTATTTTTAGACAGTTCATAAGAAATGATGATTGTATTTCTTAATGCATTTGGAAGAATTTGAATAAAATCAGGTGCAAACATTAACATTATCAAAGTGGATTTCCTGCACCTTTTTCGAATATAAAACAAGTCAACGCAAAAAAAATTAAAACTTTCTTTTCGACTCAATGTGTTCAGTCTTTTTCTCGCCGTGTCGTTTGCGCCACAAATGTTTTACGTTTCCGCAAAATCATAATGTACTTTCACACATATTTTTTCATGATGTTTCTATGTGGTTTATGTTTCCTGAATTATTTTGTACTCTTCTGTAAGCCAGGTAAACATGTCCCGCCCCCTGCTCAACATCTGAGGAGGTGAACGTAGAAATTGTCACACCGTACCGTGACTTATAGATGCTAACTTTTACGTCATTTGGTCTCTGGTGGAGAGTTGTCTCATTACCAATCATACCACATCCTCTTATTTTCATATTATCAATTTTGTCTCGTACTTAAACTATTGATGTGATGACTTTTCCAAATTACAGTTCTTTTGTTGATTAGACTGTTATCAATGAGTTCATATGGGCTTATCCTGGATTTTTGAAAGAGGGGCGTAAATCCTGAAACCACCGAGCGGAACGAAGATAAAAAAAGATTTGGACGATTTTATGCTAAAAAATCATACAAATCGTGAGAAACATAGCAGGATGTCTTACAGGAAGCAGGACTGCTTGCGTGTCTTTCTTGTCCCCCGGTTTGTTTTTGTCCATTAATTTCCCTTCTTCTTGACATACGCTGCGGTTGTCTATCATTCCTTTTATATCAGCTACGAAAGGCCCTGGCATGACATGCCATGAGTTTTCCGCGGCCTTTAGGAAATACCATAAGTCTTAAATTGAGACAAGTGTAAATATTAAACTGAAAAGATTATATTGTATAATACACGTTATAGCAAAATGTGATTAACTGAACAATGTAAACTAAAGATTATTTACGCATTAAGCAATTCAAAATTTTATCAAACAAATCTAAATATTATTGTCGACTAACATATGGGACAAACGAGAAGCATCTTTCTATGATTTCTTCTTGCAAAATTGTCTATGATTTTTTCATAGTCGAGTTCATTTTGATTATGAACAGATAAGAGTAAAATGTAATTCAAGTGTTCTTCTCCCATTATGATTCACGTGAAAGTTTTTAACCGGATTTTCGAAGGAAATATCGGTTATTGATTTGGGGATGTACGGCGGGCGGGTGGGTGGCTGCCAAACAGCGTCTGCTCAATAACATGAAAACGCTTTGACAATTTTTTTTCAAATTTAGATATGTTGTTACCTGTGACTAAATGAAGGCCAATTTCAATTTTCAGGATTTTAGCTTTTCTCCTTGTTGAGTTATCGCCCTTTTTAATATCCCAAAGTGGTATTTTTAATGTGATTGAGTTATTTCTCTTAAGCTTTGAACAGAAATGGTTAATTATATTTATAAAGTTTGATTACACTAACATGACTAATTTTCACCTGTTGATAGATAAGAGCATCTGGTAAATGTCTCACACAATTATAATTGGATTGACAGATTTATTTGAAAATTTTCGGTTTTCTAAGTGTTGATGATTATAAGCTATATAGGACTGTATAATAAAGTTAGAAATTTTCTGTTCATTATTAGACATTTTGAAGATAATTACAGATAAGTTTTATTGATTTTTAAAAGACATTGTATTAATGATAAATAAAATTTTGATTTTTTTTTCTTTGGTAAATTGTTTGAAGAGTTTTGTGGTAGGTTTGTTTGTTATTATGTAAAAACTAATTTTCTGAATGCTAAATATTTTTTCTTTTCTTTGGTAAATTGTATGAAGAATTTTGTGGTAGGTTAGTTTGTTATTCTGTAAAAACTAATTTTCTGAATGCTTTATATGTTTTGTTATGAAGTGAACTACTTTGATTAGATAATAATCTATTTTTATTATAGGATATACATTTTTATTTCATTACATTTAAAGTTGTTGACATTGATAAGTTGCAGATCTGTATTAGTTTGTGATAAATGAAAGAAAAATATTTGGAACTATTAATTATATTTGATTATAATTTGAAAATAGATATACATCATATCTTATTTTAGAGAATTATTAATCATGAATCATATATCTAATGTTAGAGTACTATGTTAAACCATATTTCTGTTCAAAGGGAAATAACTCAAACTTACTCCATGAACCAGTAATGACAAAATCAAATTTTTTTTTAAGTCATGTGTGTTATGAAGGTAGATGTCACAGTTGACAATGTTATGTGGTATTTTATTTTTGTTTGTGTGTGTTAATGTTTAATTTTTACATGATCCTGTTAGGGGTTCAGATTTGCAAATATTATTTTCATTATTAATTAGATGATAATCTATTTAAGATATTCAATCACAATACAAATTCAGAGCTGTTTCAAGCTTAAATGTTTTGTCCATTCTTGCTCTACTGTTCAGGATTCGACCTCTGCAGGAAAATCCGGTTTGCTGTCACTCGACAGCCTCTTGTTGTGAATTTAAACGACGAGTTTGCTCTTTTCGTTGAACTGGAAATTACGCTTTTCAACGGGAGCAAGCTAAGAACTTTGATAATGTTCGGAAATATCGTAGTACAAATTCTCGAGTCTGTTATCGTAGAGGTAATTGCGGCTGGTTTGTCAGACTTGATTCGCCATAACTCGTTTTAGTGTCGAAATTCAGCCTAAAGGGCTGCCAAAGCCCTTATAACAGAAATAGCTTGTTCACCAAAACGAATATGGAATCGCTGAATCAAAGTCTGAGTCTAAGAACAGTTGAAAAACCGCACGTCGAAAATACTCATTTTCATTGTCGGCAGGAACACTATCGTAGCTTTTTCAAAAACCAAGTTGAATTGTTCTCATCGTCTCTTGTTGACTGGACCAAAGTTCAAACAGAATCTATTATGTTGAACCCTTCTACAATATCGAGGGTAGAAGTAGAATCTGTAATTTTTGTATGCAGTCCTGTAGCGTCAACGACAACGTTCTTGTCCCATGTGCGTCCCTTGTAAGAACTTATTTCTTCTAAACAGGATAAAATAGCCTCGAACGTTGTACTGAAGCTAACGAGGGTGGCAATTTCCCCCTCCATCTCGTTTCACAAGATACTTCAAATCTCACTTTTTTTATTTGGTTCTGTATTGCAACATTTGAATATGACTAGATTTATGTTATAACCTTCACATTAATGACAAATTGTCCTCGGTGAAGAGTCGGGTTAATTAAAACCGCGCAACCCCCATTTTTCCGGTGCCATCCGCGCGACAAAACTGGATGTCCAATTCAACATTTGGCAAAGACTAAAAATTCAAACCGCAAAGTGCTGCGCATGTCACCTCATCTGCTTGGACAAATTCAAGCAACTGTTCCGCTGGACTACCGTTCTTTAGATATCGTATAACAAGTCCAAGTT